CTGCTACTGCTGCTACTGCTGCTACTGCTGCTACTGCTGCTGCTACCGCTGCTACTGCTGCTACTGCCGCTACTGCTACTGCTGCTACTGCTACTGCTACTACTACTACTACTACTACTACTACTACTACTTTTCTACATTTCCAGGTATTTCGTTGTTTCTCCGAACCCTGAGCCGGAATGTGCCAGCCAAGGCACCTACTGCGAGCATCACGGAGAGGACTCCTTCGGCTGTCAACTTTTCTGTAAGTTCAGCCCTGATACCGTATATACCACGATAAGTAACACAGTGTATAACGTATAAAGTATGAATGCACGAACATATATATATATATGAGTGTTTGTGTCTGTCTCTGCCTGCCTGCCTGCCTGCCTGCCTGCCTGTCTGCCTGTCATGCATGCATGCATGTATGTATGTATGTATGTATGTATGTGTATACATTACTTTTCTGTATATCAGAGAGATTGGGAGAGGTAACAGTAGATGCCCCCCGGCCGGGTGGTGAAGCCGCGGAGGCTATCAGCCACGTTTTGGGCGCCGACTGCGAGGCTCAAGGGAACAGGTTTGTGGGATTGGAGCGTCGTTGTTTGGATGTGCGGTTAAGGGTTTGGGATCCCCTGTGGGCTCGTGAAGTCTAAGCCTTCAGCTGCAAGGCCAGGCAGGCTTACCATCTTTTACCCAATACCTTCAAGAAACTTTGACCCCCGCAAAGCGGCATCAGGCAATCTGCCGCCGGAAACGTCACCGGGACTTCGGTTCCGAGGAGGAGCACGGGCCCCGCGCCTTGGTCACGGCTTGTTGTTCAGGGATGTTTATGGCTTGGGGTCTGTGTTTTCAAGTTCGTACTTCTGGGATTCTGATTCTGATGCAACCTGAGGCATTTAGGATTCCTTTCTTAGGCGATCATGGCTTGTAGACCGAGCTCCCTGTTGACTAGGCTCTCAACCTCGAGGCTCCTTCAGGATCAGGGGCTTCCCCTCCAGCATCTTTCAGCAAAGGAACGGGGGCTCTGGCCTACATCTTGACTCTCGGCGTAGCGGAAGCGTTCCGCAGGCCGCAGCCTCAAGCCGTGCGAGTTTTTGGCTGTAGCCGTTTGGAGAGAGGCGGATGTATGTGGGAATGCTGTGCCTTCTATGCTTTTCGGGTCAGGTCTCTCAGCTCGCTGTGGATGTAGATCTGAACTGCCCTGAATTCCCAGATCCCTGTCACAGGCGAGGCCTGGCAAAAGAGTTGATCAGGCCCTGAACATTTCCAGTTTCACGGTTGGCTTTTGCTATGATAGAGCTGTAGGGTTCTGCCGGCTTCTATCATTAGGGTTCTAGGTTGTCCGTTTTTCAGGCACAAGAAAAGCGCGGCAGGATCGGTTTGGTCTGTAGGCTCGTAGGACTTGACGGTTTGGGATGCTTCCGGGGTCCAGGCAGTTTTTTGTTTTTGTCCTTTGTCGGGGCTTTGCCAGGCCTTCAGAGCCTTGGGGTGTCGAGGTACTGTGAGTCTTGTGGGGACTCCAGGGATCTCCAGGGTGTCGTGGTTGGGTTTTGCTTTGACGCTTGGGGCTTTCGGGGTCCACCATGCGAACCCTTCCTTGAAGTCCCTGTGACGAGGATCACTAAAGCCGTTGTTGATTGAGGACTGCAGAATTGGGCCCCTTCCATGTGAAGAGCACGCAATACCACGGCACTTCCCTTTGCGTGCGAGATTCCAAACCCCGAAATTAGATCCGTGTCGGTCTCTGACCTCCAAACTCCTCGCAGCTTTGGGCAGGCGCTCCCTAGAATACGTCGAGAGAGACCTGCCCGAGGCCGGTCCGTCCCAAGATCCCGATTCACGGCAAAGCGATGTCGGTGGCAGTAAAGCAAACACTCCCAGTCTGCTCAAGAACTCGTCCGACCATTCTACACATTTTACACCGCCTTCTTGCATCTGGATGGGTTAAGTCGGTTAAGTTTTGTTGATTTGGGGAGGGTAAGATTTACAACCTCTGACACTGTCAGACTGTCAGGTGCAAGCAATGTACTTGCCACAGCCTTGGCCGATTGCAGCTTTCGGATTTCGCCTATTTGCAGCAGATGTAACCAAGTCTGAAGATCGCTGTTTCCACTTTGAAAGCGGCGGCTTTCGTGTCGCAGCGAAAGACGGGGTTCCGTAAGCTTCGAAAACAGGAGCCTGGAAATAGTTGTAGTTCAAGCGGCTTGCGACAGAGACGTGCATGGAAAGCCTCGGCAGTGAGTGACTCGGTGAGCAAGAAAGAGCTCGACTGCTGACAAGCCATCTTCGCGTCGCACTAGTCGATCCATTAAACTGGCATCGCATGTCCATGCTCTCATTTCTCCGAAACAGGTTTGCAGGTTTCTGGTTGCCGACCTCGATTCGATGTCAGGAGAGATGCCCAAGCCTTGAAGCCGAAATCGCGTCTAGCGCGGGTTCTCCTGAGGCATGTGGTAACTTACAACGAGGCGGCCATCTTGCTCTACGAGTCATGCAGGCCAAGCACGTGAAACTGACACAAGACAAATAGTGACGGGCTTCTAAACAGACGCAGCACCAGCGGCAAGCAGCTGGAGTAGACCTACGAGACTATGAACAGTCGGACGAGGCGCAGATTAGGAAGAAGCTTGTTGTCCGTCACTTGCCAGTTTCCTGCGCATCGAGTACTTCCCTTCCTTCTACTTCCTGCATGGACGTCTGAGCCCCAACTGATTGAGTCGCCTGGGATACTGTGAGCTAATTTGGGCTGGCAGGGTTTGTGGGCATCGAGCAACGCGGGAAGGGCTTCTCTCCCCTCTTAATTCGTTGATCCAGGTCACTACGACTCCTACCTGTATGCCCGCTACCTTCGGGGGAGTCGTCCCCCGTGGCGGCCTCGCTCTCAGTCCTTGGTTCTCTATTCCAACCAGAGTGGCACGGTGACAGCCTCTTCCGCGATTACTTCTCTCCGAGTAGAGAGAGACCGACCGAGAGAGAGCGAGAGAGAGATTCCTGAGATATGAAGGATCGCCTCAGCTGGCTACAATGAAACACACAGCATGACGCACTGCAGCATGCTAAGGTGGAGAGTTCGCAGCGTGAGCCTTATCTTTTCCTACAGTGCCTCTCTGTGTGTGTGTGTTTTTTTCCTTTTGTGTGCCCTGTGTCACCTAGAACCTGCGTATCGGTTTCGAGAAGTACCGGCTTATGCTAGGCAGACACCCAGGAGTGGCAAGCAGTACCAGCATGCTTTCGATCATAGGTTCACATACTTAGTTGCTCGACAGTTGTTCTTGCGTGGATTCGTGCCCACCCTGACAGGCTTCGCCAGCAGCCTGGGGCAGTGGGCTGCTGAGCTCCATGGGGTCGCATGCGCGTCTGTCCAACATGACTGTGAAAACCACCATATCCCGAAAAACACATGTCACGCCACACAAACACAAACAAACACACACACACACACTCACACACACACACAGAGACACACACACACACAGACACACACGCAGAGACACACACACAGACACACACACACACACAGACACACACACACACAGACACAC